GATGGTGTGGGGGTGCCCTCATTGTGCCCGGTTGGTTCCCAGTCTCCTGGGGGAAGGGGTGTGTACTAATAGGGAACAGTGATCAAGACTCCCTCCCCGCCCGCAAGCCGTTTCGCTCATTCCCACCCGCCCTCCCAACACATACGTAGCACCCGAGCCTTGCCCGAACCGCAGCATATTCAGTAGTCGTCTTTGGATGGGCAGCTGGGGCGAATCCGCCGCCGCCGCCGCCTCCGCCGCCGCCGCCGCCCGCCGCCGCCGCCACCGCGCCGCCGCCGCCGCCGCCGCTGTCCGCCGCCGCCGCCGCGCTGTCGCCGCCGCCGGTGTCCGCCGCCCGCCGCCGCGCCGCCGCCGCGCCGCCGCCGCCGCCGCCGTCGCCCCCGCTGCCGAATCGCCGCCGCCGCAGCCGGTGCCGCCGCAGCCGTTGCCGCCACCGCTGCCGCCGCCGCCGCCGCCCCCGCTGCAACCGCCGCCACCGCCGCCGCCACCGCCGCAGCCGCCGCAGCCGGTGCCCCCGCCGCAGCCGCCGCAGCCGCCGCAGCCGCCGCCGCCTCCAAGTGTATTCTGTATTGTTTTTTGGGGACACGGGTGGTGGAGGAAGGTGCATCGGGTTCGCTGCGCATGCTCCGACTTTGGAGGCGGAGTGTGTTTTGTATTGTTCTTGTGCAAGGGATGGTGGGGGGTGGCCCTCATTGTCCCTGGTTGGTTCCCAATCGCCTGGGGGAGGGGGTGTATATCAATATGGAACAATGATAACCCCTTCCCGAGGGGGAAGAAAGGGGGTTGGAAGAGGAGCCGCCCTAAACCACCTACTCCCAGAGGGCTGGTGGGATTCTGCCTAACGGGCCCTTCGCGCCGCACAGCGAAATCATTCGATCGGCGCGCGTGCTGGGGAGGACACGACCAGTGTCAAATAACACCATACGGGCCACACTCGCGCGTCGGCCGCGCGCGCCTGTCGAACTCCTTCCAAAATCTTCATCGCCGACGCGATGACGCCGTCATTGTCGCCGGCGTGATCAGCATTGGCGCCGTCGTTGTCATCATCGTCGCCAGCATCGTTCTCACCATCATCGCGTCTACCGTCGTCGACGTTGCCAGAATACCGCGCCCGCCCACGTCGCCGACTCGCGCTGAACTGTTCTCTAGGAAGTGCCCATCGGTAGGCGCCACAGTGGCCGCGTCGGTCGCGCCAAACTAGCTGGCCACTGCGCGTGCGAGCATGCGCGGGCTAGCGCGGCCGCAGATAGGCACCAGCCAATTCCAAGCATTCGTCGCAATCCCCGCCGCGTGAGTTTTGCAAACCACGTTGCGGGTGGGTGGGGGGTGTGATGATTGCGAGAGCAGTGGAATGGACAATTCATTGCGGGCATATGTTTGCCCCTGCTGGATTGCACCATGTGGATTGCAGCACTTTGATTGGGCCGCGTAGATTGCAAGAAATCTTTGTTTGGGGTTCCCGCTGTCCAGAATGTTAATTTCAGAGATAGGTTCGAGCTTCAAATCAAGTTAAGATATTTGGGCACGTGCCAATTTCGAGCTGAGCAGGTTTACGACCTGCTGGGCTCGTCGAGAGTGTTTTTCTGTTCCTTCTGGGCACGGGCTGGAAGAGTGGGAGGGCGGTGAGAGGGTGGAGGAGGAGCAGGAAAATGATAAGGAGGGGTCGGGAAACGCAGACGGAGAGGGGCCGGAGGGTGTAGGAAGCGGAGGAGGAGGCGGTGAAGGGGGGGGTGGGGGGTGCGAGCGACGACGCGGAGGAGCAGCGGGAGCACGAGGAGCGGCGGCCAGAGGACGAGGAGGACGAGCACGGCCCGTGGCCTCCGCCGCCCAGAGAGCGGAGGACGGCGGAGCGGCGGCGTGGCTCGCGGGCCCGGCGGCGGCCGACTTGGTGAGGCTCGGGGCCCAAGAGACGGGGGACACCGCAAACGGGGGCCAATCAGTCAGGTGTTCGGTGTTGGACCCCTTGTCGAACGTGGCCATGCAGCTCTCGCGCAGAGGGCCGCTGGAGAAACCACCAGCGAGCGCCGAAGGCCGCCAGGAGACCGCCCGAAGACCACCCCGTGACCGCCGAAGACGGCCCGGGAGCACAGGGGGTCCATGGTCCATGGTCCAACAGGCAAGTTTCGGAGTGCCAGATCTCGCAGGATTCTACAGGGCCAGGGGCGCATTGGCCCCCGCTTGCGCACAGGATCTTGCAGGATCTTACATTCGACTAGACGTAAGAGTCACCTTTCGCCGGAGTGACCGGTCGTGCGGGCTCATCGGGCTCCACCCGATCGCCGAGCGCGATGCGATACAAGCGGCCCGCGCCCTTGGGTTTGGCTTCCTCGCGCCCCCACAAGCTGCGCACCAAAGGTCAGTCTTACCCATGATCCTGCGAAGCTTGACGGGCCCGGGTCAGTAGGTCCCCGAGGGGTGGCGCCGCCGCCCGTCGCGAGGCCGCAAGGTTTGTGCCCTCGACCCTGACCTGCTCGCGCTGCGGAAGGCATTCGGGACGGAAGCCTTTGGGCTGCTTTGGCGCATGGGGTTCCCAGCAGGCCCCAGGACCACTGAGAAATCACTCGGGATGAATATAGCCGGTCCAGGCAACGGGTCGAGACTTGCGGAGGCCCACGCGGCGGCAACAGCGTGCCATCGATGTCGACAGAAGACAAGTTCGTCGAGCCGTGGCGCACGCCTGCCTCGTCGGCCCAGGGAGGCTCAGCGTGTCGCGCCGCGGGTCCTGGCTCACCGCGTTTCGGCGCGGCGCGCTGAGCACGTCGGTCCCCTGGCATGACAGTGAGCGGCTTGAATAAGGAGCACTTCCTTTTCAAAAGGGGCTCGGTCGTTCCTTAGGCTTGCATGCGTTATTCATCATTCCTGAATGCGTTATTTGTTATATATCTTTCCTTCTGCGTTACTCCTTGGAAAAAAAGGGACTGCGTTCCTTATTTATCGTTCCTTAGGTCAGGCCGATGACTGTAGCGTTCCGAGCTTGTCCCTGCCCCCCCGTCCCACGAAACGTGGCGACACGCCACCCTCGGGCATAGCCGGGACCCCAGGTGAGGGTTCCTGGTCAGTGGTAGGGCCCCGGAGCCCCCGAATTGGCCCGAGTCCCTAAGCCAAGGCTGCCGTAGCTGGTGTTTTTCGGGTGACGGCGGTTCCGGGCAGTGGAACGGAGCGGGGTGGTCGCCCCCCAGTACACATCATTAGACCAGGTCCCACGAAGCCCAGTTCTGCCAACGCCCGATACCAGCCTGCAAGGCATCGAGTGTCGAGTGGCCGCCGCCGCGGCACGCTGAGCAAAAGTTGCTGACGTGGGTGGCCACCTGGGAAGTGGAACGGAGGGGGCGACGCGCGGGGAGGCGACCAGGCATGCCCACCACGGAGGCGCCTGCACGACGAGGAGAGCAACTATCGCGCGTCGCCCTCCTCCCTGAGATCCGACGCTGCGAACCGAACATTCACCACCGCGAAGACATCGCGACTGGAGCCCTAGGCCCCATCTACCTGCGGCACTTGTCGAGCCATGCCCCTCCGACCCCCCCGCCACACACACACACACCTCTCGGCAGGGGGCGCCCCAGAGAGGGGGTATCTGACCGGGGGCGGAGCAGCATGGCCAGGGCCATGGGATATATCTATATCTATAGTCTATATAGATAGATGTGTGTATATATATATATATATATATATATATATATATATGAGGTCTGATATACGTGTGATAGATGTGTGTATATATATATATATATATATATATATATATATATGAGGTCCTTGGCATCGCTCGGACGTGTGCATGTTTTCTCGGCGAAAAACCATCGAGGAGCATCCTGGACCATCGAGCAACACAAAACACGTACGCAACCGCAAAAGACACGGGGAAGTGGACGTCCGAGCGATGGCGAGGGATCTCCCCAGGTATCGTGGGCCCCCCCTTCCGATCTCGACACGCCCCCAGGGCCCCTTGGTCCCCTCCTCGTCCGCGCACGCGCCTCTTGGGCGACGATAGGCGCCCCTCCCCCCCCCTCCCCGGGGACGCCCCCCCCGTGGACGCCCCCCGCACCTCCCGCACCCTCCGAGGTCCCGACGCCTTCCCCGGGGGCAGCCTTTTGCCCCGAGGTGCAGCCGGCGGGCCCCGGGGCCCAGTCGCGGGCCCCGAGGGGCCGACCATCGCGGGCCCGAGGGGCCGACCTCGAGGGCAGACGCTGGAGCGTGAAGCGTCCGATCGTCGGCGGTCTGGGTGCCCCTCCCCGAGACCTGCGCTGGGGCGCGTTCTGGCCAGCGTTCCCCGGCGGAGCTGGCCGCCGCGCCCGGAGGCCCAGAGGAGGGCGAAGCACGGCCAAGCCCCTCGGTCCTCGAAGTTCGCTCCTCGACGTGCAAACTTTGGGACTGAAGCAAAGCAGACGGTCGGGAACCTGTGGATAGCGTGTGGCTCCGCTGGTTCTGGCCCACCGCGCCTCGGTGCGACACGCCACCCTCTCCGCAGTCCCCAGGCCTCAACGCCCCGAGCCTTTCCGAGCCTCCCGCCCCGCGGAGCGGAGCGACACGCGATCCGCTCGCATAGCAGCATAGCGCATCGCTGGCGCCGCCGCCGCGACACGCTGAGCAGAAGTTCCCGACACGCACACACACATACACACACACACACACACGCACGCACGCACGCACGCCACGCACGGACGCACGCACGCACGCACGCACGCACGCACGCGCACACGCGCACACGCACACACGCACACACACGCACACACACACACACACACGCACACGCACACGCACACGCACACGCACGCACGCACACGCACACGCACACGCACACGCACACGCACACGCACACGCACACGCACACGCACACGCACACGCACACGCACACGCACACGCAAACACAAACACAAACACAAACACAAACACAAACACAAACACAAACACAAACACAAACACAAACACGCACACAAACACGCACACGCACACGCAAACTCACACGCAGACGCACACGCACACGCACCGCACCGCAGGCGGCACGACCTGGCGCGCTTGCTGCGGGAGGGCGGCGGCCTCGCCCGGATCCCCGGCTTCCTCCCCGACGGCGTGGCCCGGCGGGCCCGCGCGGCGCTGCTGGAGGCGCCTGCGAGGCGGTGGGAGCGCACCTCGACGGCGGAGCGGGAGGACTTTCCTTCGGAGGGGGAAAAAAGGTACCTATACCTCTACGCCCCCCTCGTTTCCCCTTTTGGGGCCTTAAAACGACGCGAAGATCGGGACAACATCGGATCGGGATAACTCGAAATCTCTGAGAATCGGCGGGTTTGGAGGATGTATTGGGCGCCGCGGCCGCTCCAGAGCGTTCCCGAACGCTCTGAGAGCATGGGTACCTTCTGTTTTCCCGAGTTCTCGGTACCTGCCCATGGTATCTCAGCCCCACCAGCCCAGCCCTCCAGTTGGGAGGGGCTTCGCGAGACCCGGAGAGAGCAGCATAGATCGTCCAGGGTATGGCCCTCCCCCGCCCCCCTAATGCCCATGCCATCGGGCCCCCGCCCACGCGATGCTCCCCCACCCCCCCCCTGTGGGCGTGGTGTGGTGGGGTCTTCCGCTGTGGGCGTGCGGTGTTGGGTATAGGGTTCGGTCCTCCCTCGACTGGGTGTGGGCTGGTGGGTGGTGGTGGTGGTGGTAATGGTGGTTGTGGTGGTGGTGGTGGGGGTCGTGGTAGTGTTGGTGGTGGTGGTGGTGGTGATGGTGGTGGTGGTGGTCGGGCCCTCCTAAGTAGGATGAGGAGGAGTAGGAAGATGAGGAGGAGGAGGAGGAGAAGGAGAGGAGAGGAGGAGGAGGAGGAGCAGGATGAGGAGAAGGATGATGAGGAGGAGGAGGACGACGACATCAGCGTCGGCCTCGGCACAGGGATTGCCGTCCTAGGTATGACGTAAAATTGCTACACTTGACGGAGGGGGGGGACAATCTCTAATAGTGTGCAGCACAGCCGTAAACAGTTCGGATTGGCCTCCCCCAGTGGCGGTGCTTCAGGGAGCCGGAGCGGACGGTGTCCTCGTCGTCGTCGTCGTCGTCGTCGTCGTCGTCGTCGTCATCATTGTAGTCGTCGTCGTCGTCGTCATCGTCGTCATCGTCGTCCCCCCCCCATCCCATCTGCGGGGGGGGTAAGGCCAAGGCATCCGGAGACGGGGCGTGGGCCCGGAGCCCGGGATTAGGGGGGTTGATCGGCCAGAGGTGCCACAGCTACGCCAGTGGGGATAGAGCATGGTTAATCAATGCTACTTTCCAGAGCTCAGAGGGAGAAAGGGTACTCTTACCGCTCCACTTCCATCGTTTTCGACTCGTCTTGCATCCTGCCACGCCCTCGCCACGACGACGACGATGACGACGACGACGACGAACGACAATGCCGGACGACGACGACGACGACGACAACGACGACGACGTTGACGACGACGACGTCGACGACGACGACGACGACGACCGCGATGACGACGACGACGGTGGCGGCGGCGACGACATCGACGACGTCAACGAGGACAACGACGACCGCGACGACGGACGACGATGTCGGACGACGATGCGACGACGCCGACGACGACGATGACCGCGATGACGACGACAACGGCGGCGGCGGCGACGACGTCGACGACGACGTCAACGTCGACGACGACGACGACGTAAGAGGACGACGACGACGACGACGACGACGACGACGATGGCGACGGCGATCACGGCGACGACGACGACGACGAACGGCGACCACGACAACGACGACGACGATGACGGCGATGACCACGGATGACGACAACGACGACGACGACGTCGACGACGAAGACGGCAATGACGACGGACGACGACGACGCCGATGACGACGACGACGACGACGTCCACGGATGCAGTCGCAACGGTGGCGTCGGCGTTGACGGATAACGACGGCGACGACAATGACGACGACGTCGACCACGACGGCGACGACGACGACGACGACGACGACGACGGCGACGACGACGACCACGACGACGACGACGACGACGACGACGACGACGGACAGCGACGACGACGACAACGACGAGGACGATGTCAACGACGACGGCGACGACGACGTCGATGATTTCGGGCGACGACGACGCCGATGACGACGACGGCGGCGGCGGCGGCGGCGGCGGCGACGAAGGTGGCGAGCCTAGGATACATAGGAGGAAGAGGTATTGCTGCTGCTGCCCTTTCCTCGTCTTCGCTTGTCGCGCCTCCTGGCAAGCCTGTGGCGCCACGTCTGCATTTGCACCGAAATTGTCGACCGAACGCACCCCAGTCGGGGTCCGGGGAGTAGCCGGCGGTGGGAGCGAACCTCGACGCTGGAGCGGGGGGACCTGAAGCTGGGATGGGTGAGAGAGCCGCCGTCTTCCCAACTGGATCGGAGGAGGGCCAGCCGACGCAATTCGTGTCGGAGATCAGGGGACGTGGTGTATGCATCGCAGCCCTCCGAGATCCTCCCGCTTTCTGAATCCAGGCCGTCCAGATGCCCAGATTCAGGAGGGAAAAAAACACAGACACAATTAATCGTCGACTCCCAGGAAAATATGGGAAAATAGGGAAATGGGGGGAAGACAGAAACATAGAAAATATGGAAACATATAGGGAATATTTTTATTTGTGTGTATGTATTTGTGTGTCCCAGGGCCCCTTCACAGATGCATCGCCGCTGCATCGGCGATGCGGCTCGACTTGGTGCCAGAATCTCTCCACGCCGATGGCGCCGATGCATCGCCGACGACGCCGATGCATCGATGCTGCGTCGCCGATGCATGGGCGATGCACTGACGAAGCGGCGCGATCGTCCGACCCCTGCCACTCGGACCCCGTCCAGGAGGCCTCTAAAAGTTCTCCTGTCTCTGGAAGAGGAAAACGGCATGAAGATCAACTCTGCAGGGTCCACGCGGATTTCTTGGATCTGCGCTGGGCACCTCTTGGCGGCGCCTCTCGCACCGCCCCTGTTTTCCGTGCGGGCCTTGGACAGCATGTTTAGGGAGTTTGTTTTTTTTCCGGCGGGAGGACTTCGGAGGGGCTGGATATACACACCGCGATACGATTCGTTCACTCCAGGCGTTTTCCGTAGATTGTGTTCCTCTGGGGGGCTGTATTGGACCTTCGGTCAACGAGAACTTGATCGGGGCCGAAGGACTGCTCATGGGAAAGGGGTTCAGGACTTCTGGGACTGCGGATTCACAAATTCATAGCGTCGGTTGTCTGGGTCGGTTGGTCGGCCAGTGAACCAAAGAGCTCGGCCAAGGAACTCGCCCTAGCGTCCCACAGGTTGGGAAGCTAGTGCGTCTATACGTCGAGCTCCGAGGCCGACCAGATGTACCTATAGCCCCCAGTACCCAGAGCCCCTACGTCAGAATCCTTTCATGACGTGGACCCCCAGTGGTTTAGACACCTTCCCGAGGACTGGTTCTTCATCCCGCGTCGTTCTTTGATGGTCCCAGGGCCCAGTGAGGGCTCCCAAAGTCCGCAATTTTTTACTCCCGTCGTGATTTTGTTCACGACGCGAGGGGGTCTGTGGACATGATGTATAAGTCACATCGTGATTTGTGCATGACTTGACCCTCCGAAGTGTCAACCCCTTCCAGAGGACTGGCTCCTCCTCATCCCGAGCTGTTCTTTGTGACGGCCCCGGCGGCCTGGCGAGGCCCAGCGGAGGCCGCACATGGCCAGATATTTCCCGCCATAAGTTCTGTCACGACCCGAGGGGGGTTGGAGGGAGGGAGGTAGGGAGGGAGTGTTCACCGGCGAAATCCGAAACCCACCCTCGCCGATCAACGACTCGGGCACTTCGACGGGCGGCGAGGGCGGGGTTCGGAATTCGTCGAACACGTGGCGAAGGTCCGAAACCGACCCTTGCTTCCCATCGCCTCAGGGGGATAGATGGCATCGATGGTCGGTGCAGGTAGAGTTCGCATGTCGCCATTTACTCGTGGACGTGACCCGTCCAGGATACCCGAGACACGGGCCACCGACCCCTCGGCCTCGTCACCGGGGCTGGTTGCTCGGCCCGAGTTGTTTTCATGTTGACAGTCGTGAGGTCCGGGGAGGAAGGCCCACCAGAGGCCGAACGCTTGGAACAGAAATCTCCGCCTCGAGTTTTGCCGAGACGCTCGATGGCTGGGCCTGCGCGCGCCGACGCATAGACGTCGAGGCCCCCCTCCCCAGGACTCGGGCTACGCCGACAGCATCCCCCACGACTTCCGCCTCCTGGAGGTCGAGGGCGACGGCGTCCTGCTGGGCGTGGCCCGGCTGCTCTGGAGGCCTTCGTGGGCTGCGCTGGGATCGGCGGCGACGACGACGACGACGGCGGCGACGACGGCGACGATGACGACGACGACGACGACGACGACGACGACGACGACGACGACGACGACGACGACGACGACGACGGCGGCGGCGGCGGCAGCGACGGCGACGGCGACGGCGTCGGCGACGGCGTCGGCGACGGCGACGGCGACGGCTGCGACGGCGGCGAGCCCAGGGGGCAGAGCAGAAAAAGGCACGGATACCGCTGCGCTTGCCCTGTTTACACTTGTTGGGCCTCCTGGGTGGCCCTCGTCGCCACCGCTGCATTCGCCTCGAGGTCTTGGTCAGAAAGCACCCCCCCGGAGAGGTCCAAGGGGTGTCGATCTTGGTACCTTTTGGCTTCGGCATGCCTTTTCAGAGGGCAGCGGCGCTTCTGAGTTCTGAGAGCTCCGCCGCCCTCTGAGAATGCCTGCCCCCGCTCACTCCCCCCTGGGCTCGCCGCCGAATTGGTTGAGCCTCAGGAGGAAACGCATCAACCCCAATCGCGCATCCATCGCCGAGCCCAGAACCCCTCACGTTGTGAAAAAATCACGACGGGCTAAGATTTTCATTATTTTCGGACCCTTCGGGGCACTCTTCGGTCTTCAGCTGCTCCCGAGGTTCTGGGGGCAACCTTAGGGGGGGAGATATGATCAGCTCAGGGGTGCGCGTTGCAAGGGGGCCACATGCGAACCCTACCCCTACCCCCCACGATTTCTGAGGGGGAGGGTGGGGTTCACTTCGTTCGGGAGCTCCCGAGCGAAGTGATCCCCACCCTCCCCCCCAGAAATCGTGGGGGGTAGGGGTAGGGTTCGCATCTGGCCCCCTAGAGGGGGGCACCGCTCATGGGGGACGCAACGACCCCCGGCGCTCGGCAGCCCACCCTGCCCAGGAGCGTGAAGATTCGCCTTCGTGGGCTTATATCGCCGATCTGACTATCGGGCGATGCACCGCCGATCCCAGCCCCGGTCGGTTATCCCATGAGTTGGTCCCCTCCTGACGTTCCCCCTGAAGGTTAGTGCCGCACTCGCTGCCGAATTTCACGGCAGCGATGTACGGGCCCGCGGACCACATAGCCCCGCACGATGACTCGGTCCGCGAGCAGTACACGTGGCAGGAGGTGGTCGAGCTGGCAAAGAATTATAGCACATCGTCGCAGAAGTGCGACCAGTTCGGTCTGAGTCCCTGGGCAGGCTCGAGGGCCTTCAGGAGGGACACGGCAGCCGTGTACTACCTGACCGACGACTGGCCCGAAGACATTGGCGGACTCTTCGTCGACCTCGAGTCTGGCGAGAAGATCAAGCCCGAGTTCAACACCCTGCTGGTGTTCTCCGTCCCGCGCATGCACATGAGCGACGCAGAAAAGCGGGGCCGGCTGCGCGGACATGGGCGCGGAAGCTGCCCGCGTCAAGTCGCGCGCAAGCGCCGTCGTTTCCATTGCAGCGTGCCGCGCCGGCGGCCCGCGCAAGCCGCCGCGCGAGGTCGCTGTGCCATCTCGCATCGTGACCCGCTACTCCAGATTTCGTAATAAAGGGAGGGGGGTCTCATTTCGGGGGGGGTCTCTTCCAGGCTATCTTGGAGGGCCTGGGGGGGCTGGGGACGGTGTTTTGGAGGGTTCTCCCACGGGGGGGGGGTCTAAAACTTGTCGTCTGGGAGGGTTGAGACCCCCTCCCTTTTATTAGGAAATCTGGAGTACTCTTCGTCGCTCCCATGGTGACCGCGGTGGAGGCCATCCATGCCCGCCGCCTGTCGCTCTTCGGCTGGTGGCTCACCCCGGCGCCGGGGCCTGCCGCCGGCGGCTGCGGCGCGGTTGCCCCCCGGGCCGGGAAGCGGCCCGCGGCGGCCACGGCACGCGACGGCGGCGCCGCCGCCCCCCGGGCCAGGATCAGGAGGGGAAAAACAGACAGACACAATGAATCGACGATTCCCAGGAAAAGATGGGAAAATATCGGAAGTGGGGGGGAAGACAAAAACCCAGAAAAGATGGGAAAATATTTGGGGGGTATTCTTATTTGTGTATTTGTTTGTGTGTCCCAGTTCCCCTTCACAGGAAGCGGCCCGCGGCGGCCGCGGCGCAGCCGGCGCCGTCGCGGCGGCAGGTGGCGCGCAGGCGCCCCGCGGCCGCGGGGCCCCGCCGGGGCGGCGGGCAGCCTTGAGGCCAGGGGCGCCGCCCTGGGCACTCCGGCGCGCCGGTCAAGAAAGGGCGCCGGTGCTGCGCAGTGCGGTGCACAGGAGCAGAGCCTACGGTAGGTTTGCGTCGTGTCGACCAGCTGCGACCCCAGCGCGGACGTTCAAGGTTGAACGCCGCCGGCGACCCAGAATCGATCGATGTTGAACGATCGGACGTTGCGGCAGCGGCCGATCGTTCAAGGTTGAACGATCCCTGCGGTGTCAAAAACCAACGCTGGGGTCGGCACGACACGAACCTGCCGTATGTGACCTATGCATACATGTCTCGGACTTCAGCGCGGATGTCTTGGATCGGCGCTGGGCCCTCTGGCGGCGCCCCCGTCGCCGATGCAAGAAGTCCGCGTGGAGTCCCGAGTGTACAGTGCTGATGCATGCTTTTGTTCCTCTTATAAAAGGGCCGCCCTGGGCAGCCCGAGGTGCCGGTCGCGAACGGCGCCTGTGCTTCGCAGGGCGGCACATCGCCACGAAGCAGACGGGTGCTGATGGAAGCGGGCTTTGAGAGCTTCCTGGGGCCCACGACCCCGGACGAAATGATGGCCGGTCGGGGATCCGTTTCCCTCAGGACCCGTTTGTCGGCGGCGAGCCCGGTGGGGAAGTGAGAGGGGACGGGGTTTCTCAGGAGGCTCCGAAGTGCCCCCACCTTTTGAGAAGTGTTCTACATCCCCGGGCCGAAAGTTCTGTCCTCTAAGTCAAAACAAAATTGAGAAAACCGATGGATCCAATTGGATCCTTTTTTCGGGTGTGCGACAGTGTCGTGGATCCTATTTCTGTCTTGCGCGGATCAATTTCCCGTGTGTGAAAAAAACCCATGGATCCAAAGATTTTCCAGGGATAAAGTTGTAATACTACTGAACATCATGGACCCAGGGGAAATGGGATCCGCGGGGCACTGCACGTGAAGCATCATGTGATACATGGGCCTATGTATCTGCGAACCAAAGTTATGATTCTACGGGGAAAAGGGGAGTCTTCCGAAGACAGAGGGGAAGGAGGAGGGAGGAGGCACGAAGCCGCAGAGAGCGCGACATGTATCCGCTCACCTGAACGGCACGTCGCCTCCAACACTTGGGGCTCAAGTAGAACATCTTTCGGCCTGCGTAAGTAAGCCTTCCCCGAGGACAGAATGCCGGAGGCCTTCCGAGAAGTTCCGCCGCCTTCCGAGAAGGCCTTCTCCTTCCCACTTCCCCCCTCGCTCGCCACCGAGTTTGTTCCGTGCCAGATACGAGTCTTCTCTCCGTCTCTCTCCAGGTCACCCCCCAAGGCGGAGAGATGGTCGCGCTTTGCCCCTCGCGGTCCAGGCCAGGCAGAAGGTTCCCCTCCACGGGTGCGGCGCGAGGACGGGGAGGTCATCCCAGCTCGCGCTTCGGACGGTGCGAGGTGCGAAGCTGGGCAGCCTGGCTTCCCCCTTTACCTTCCTGCTTCTCCTCCTGTTTCCCCTCCTCTCTGTCCTCCTCCTCCTCCTCTTTCTCCTCCTCCTCTTTCTCCTCCTCCTCCTCCTCCTCCTCCTCCTCCTCCTCCTCCTCCCTCCTCCTCCCCCCTCCTCCTCCCTCTCTTCCTGCACAGTCAGGACTCATGAGTAGTTTTGGTTTTAGTATTATTCCTCCTACTTCTCGCCCTCTCTCCTCCTCCTCCTCCTCCTCCTCCTCCTCCTCCTCTTTCCCTCCTCCTCCTCCCAGGCCACGCCTGTCGAGATGGGGATCGGCCAAACGGTGCTCGTGGCCGCGCCTGTGTGGGGGTGGAGCTCGCAGACAATTCCGGGCACGGCCACGTGTCCGGGGCGAGCGGCGAACACGGGGCACGATTCCTTTTCCACCCGCGCTGCCACTCGCGATTTCCAGCCTCGGCCGCCATAAGCTCAGGGACAACGAGAGGGCGGGGGGAGGAGGAGGAGGAGGAGGAGGAGGAGGAGGAGGAGGAGGAGGAGGAGGAGGAGGAGGAGGAGGAGGAGGAGGAGGAGGAGGAGGGAGGAGGAGGAGGGGGAGCAAGAGGAGGGGGGGGTGCATCGACCCCCAGTCGCCCACGGATCGCAGATAGGGGCCCGACAGCTCCACCTCGCCGAGGAACCTGCGGATTTTAATGCAGGAGGCCCATGGCTGATCGATCGGCAGTGTATCGCCGATTCCAGGCTGACGTTTCCCCCCCCCTGAGCCAGTCACCCCGGCTTTAGAAGGAGAGGGACTGGAGGAGGAGAAGGAGGAGGAGAGAGAGGAGGAGGAGGAGGAGGAGGATCGAGGAGGAGGAGGATCGAGGACGAGGAGGATCGAGGAGGAGGAGGAGGAGGATCGAGGAGGAGGAGGAGGTGGAGGAGGAGGGGAAGTCTCTGGCAGAATGCCCGGCCCGCCCTGCGGGCGCGCGTCTTGCGTTCGGACGAGGACGGGCTTCGGTCTGGCACGTCTGCGTGTTGTGTCGCCCTGCCGCATCTGGCCGACCGCGCTCCGGCGTGGCACGTCAAGCGGTTCCCGGCCCCCGAGCGTCAATGTTTCGTCGGGAGCCTTGTTCGGGGGCGGAAAAGAGGGGGGTGAGGACTAGGGGGGGTGGATATCATGGCGTGGGCCATGATATGTCCCCAGATTTCATGGCGACTCTTCTTATCCATTACGTCCCTGGCCCCCCCGCTGGGCCGCGCACATGCCGCCGGTCATGATTTGCACCCCCCCCTCTTGGACACCCCCCTCTTGGCCACTCCCGACTTGTGACGGGGGTCAATGCAAACGGGGGTCAGCCAGAGCGCCCCCACCTTGCAGGATCCTGCTGGTCCAGGGTCGCATTGACCCGGGCTTGGGCGCAGGATCTTGCAGGATCCTGCTGGACTCTTCGCATTGACCCAGGTTTGGGCGCAGGACTTTGCAGGAGTTTGCCGGATCTTGCAAGGCCTGACTGACCCGGGTCTGGGTTGACCCGGGTCAGAAGATCCCCGATCCCGAGTTTCTCTGTTCCGCCCCTCTGGGCCTCTCAGGTGGGGTCGGGGCAGATGGGGGAGGTTCGAGCTGCATCGCCGATACATCGGCGATGCGATTCGATGTGGAGCCCGAGTTTCTCCACGCCAACGGCGCCGATGCATCGGCGATGTCGCCGATGCATCGCCAATGCAGTGGCGATGCGGTGCGACCCTACGGCACCACCTACTCGGACCGCATCTGGGAGGCCCCCAGCCCCGCGGAGCGGATGGACAGGCTGTCTGCTTGCAGGGTACAGCATGTCTACGGGGCCTCGTCCGCGACGCGTTGAGCAAAAGTTCCCGACCGTTTTCACGAAGAGAAGCGCCCTGGGCCAGAGCCCTCTGGGAAATATGCCTCTCCAAGCAGCCTTTTGGGAAAATGGTTCAAATCGGCTCCGCAGAGGGGGGTCGAGTTTTCAAGGGCGCGTGCGGGGAGGGCATGGGGTCCACCATAGAAGCAACGGAGAATCCTTACTAGACAGCGGAGGCGCATGTTAACACGCGCCAGCGTGCACAAGGCATAGTGGAAGTTGAAGGAGGAGAGGAGGAGGAGGAGGAGGAGGAGGAGGAGGAGGAGGAGGAGGAGGAGGAGGAGGAGGAGGAGGCAGGAGGAGGAGGCGAGGAGGAGGAGGAGGAGGATGAGGAGGGGGAGGAGGAGGAGGAGGAGAAGGAGGAGGAGGAGGAGGAGGAGGAGGGGGGGAGGAGGAGGAGGAGGAGGAGGGAGGAGGAGGAGGAGGAGGAGGAGGAGGAGGAGGAGGAGGGGAGGAGGAGGAGGAGGAGGAGGAGGAGGAGGAGGAGGAGGAGGAGGAGGAGAAAGGAGGAGGAGAAGGAGGAGGAGGAGGAGGAAGAGAAGGAGGAGGAGGATTTTTCAATACGGGGTCACCAGAAGCCCCAGCCCTTTCTCCATAGCCAGCTTTGCATTCTAAGCAGTTTTTTGACGGTCCCAGGGCCTTTCGAGGGCTCCAAGAGGCCGAAATCGACGGAAAACTTCTACATCAAATTTCTCAGCACGTTGGAGGTCTGACGAGGAAGAGCACTAGGACCAGAGGGAGGAGGAGGAGGAGGAGGAGGAGGAGGAGGAGGAGGAGGAGGAGGACTGGGGGAGGATGAGAATGAGAATATGAAGCAGTGAGGCACGGTGTCCAGCAGACCTGCCTACCGGAGACTTCGAGCCGAAGCCGAAGAAGGGCTCCCACCCGTGAGGATCTTCGTGGCCTCTGGAACGGCCTTCGGGGCGCCTTCGTCGCTGGGGAACAGTCCCTTAAACATCCGCGCATGGTTTTTGCCCAGGAGGAAGACAAATCGAGGACGAGGGGGGCGAGTAGGAGAAACAGTGTAGACCCAAGGCGCATCAACGATGTTGCAAACAACCCTCTGTCGAAGCTCCCGGCTCGTAGGTCCATAGAACACTCTTATGCTCATTGCGGGAAGTGCCTCACTGGAAGAGAAGCCTCCGAGAACCTTCGACCAAAATATCGTTCCCGAGAATTGAGCGTCGTGGGTCAACGTGAATATTGCGTCCTAGCACTCCTAAACTGCGCCAGAACACAATTCTTGGGACGTCAACGACGCAAATCAATATGACTGTCGCGCCCTCGCAAACCTAAATCGTGTCATAATGCCATGCCTAAGATTTGCAACCATGCGAACCCTTCAAACTTTTGCGAACATTCAACACCAATGCGTGCGTGGCTTGGACGAGAGCCACATTTTGAAAAGGGCGCGCAACCTTCAAATTTGCGCGGGGCCAAGGCTAGAGTCTCATTGTCAGGGTTGCCCTCGGCCGCAACCTGCTCCCCCTCGACGAGGACGAGGACGACGAACACCCCAACTCCTATCACGCCACCTCGACAAGCAAGGCCAGCACGACCTCCGCAGCCAGCACGACCTCCGCAGCCGGCACCAGGGAGCGGACGACGGCGCGGCATTGCGGCGGTTCAATCGAGCATCTGGCCTGCGACCACACCTGGCTCTGGAATCTGTTGAAGTGCAAGGGCCTGGTGATGGCCCTCGATGTCGCCGTGGCCTCGCCGTGGCCGCATGCCTGGATTGCGCGGCCGCCACGCACCGACGCAAAGTCGAATATTATTCCGCACGCGCAGACGCCCAACACGGCAAAGCATCTACCTATGAATGGCTTTCACGTGCCACCGCCAGCCTCGCCCCCGAACGACAGCCATACTACGCACTCTCGCGACCAAACAGTCGCAGAGGCGTGGTTATTCTGACAGGGAGTGGCGGTACAGGTGCTTCTCTGCCGCCATCGGCACCGAGCCCTGGCGCTGGGCCGCCAGGCAGGTCCAGGCCTGCTGGCCAGGCCGTGAGCCCGACGCCACGGAGGCACCCTTGCGGCCGCCCGCCCTCTGCAGTTTCCCCGCCCCCCATTTCCGCCCCCCCCCCGCGCGCGCGCCGAACTATCGGGGCCTGGTGGCTCACACCCCGCGGCCGTGGGACGAGGAGGAGGAGGAGGAGGAGGAGGAGGAGGAGGAGGAGGAGGAGGAGGGCCGTGCTCCCCCGCTTGCTGTCTGCCTGGTGCCCCGTGTTCCTGCCGTCCTCTCTCCCTTGCCCTTCCTCCTCCTCCGTCTCCTTCCTCCTCCCGTCTCGTGGGCCTGGAGGCCGCGCGTCTGCGCGAGTCGTCATCGTCGGTTTCAGGCGATGCGGTCCCGGCCCCCTGCCCTACCGACACGCCAGGGGGGCGACGCGGGGGGGCTTATCTCTTGCAAGGCAAAACGCTGGAGGAGGAGGAGGAGGAGGAGGAGGAGGAGGAGGAGGAGGAGGAGGAGGGGGAGGAGGAGGAGGGGGAGAAAGAGCAGGAGGAGGAAGAGCACGAGGAGGCTCCCCGCCCCTCCGCCGCAGGTGATCCGAGCGAGACCTGCCGGCCGCGGCCCCGCCGCGCCGTGCTCGCCGCCGTGGGCACCGCCCTCGCAGCCGTCGGCCCCGCAGGCCTCGTGCGCGCGCGTGCGAGGTCGGCTGTGGCCGCCTGGCCGTGGCCACGCCTTTGCCTTCGGCGGCCATGTCTCGCGCTGCGTCTCCGGGTAGTGGGTTCAGTCAGAGGGGGCTCGGGCGCCTTGGCCCTTGGCGGTCTTCCCCGGCTCGGTATGCCTTCCGGCGGGTGCGCCTCGCCGAGAGCGTGCGGGGGGTGTTTGTATGGTCTTGGCCGGCCGCCATGGAGCTGAGCTCTGACCCGAAAACCGTCGACGCTGCGTTCCCCAGGGGCTTCATCTTGGAGGCCTACGTGGAGGCTGGCACCAAAACCAGTGTCGGCGGTTCCCTGCACCAGAGTTGTCGTTTCTTCTGGCGGGTACACCGTCGAACCCTGCCCCCCCCCTCAGGGGAACAGTAACGGTCGCACGCGGGGGAAAGAAAGGATGGGTGTCCCCAGAAGTTCTTTTTGTCGAGGCGCTCGCGATTCGTGGCGAACCCCACTGCAGCCAGAGGCAGACTGCGCATGCTGGGGCGCGCCACGCTGAAGAGACAAACATGAATCACGATCGTACGCAGGGTGGGTGGGCAGGACCTCCCGCATGCGGGTGCTCGCGCGCGTATTGTGGCGATCCCAGCACCCCCCCGCCCCCGTCAAGCTCCACCCCGCTCAAGCGCTCATTCCGGCGAATCGCAAGACCCGCGTGCGCTGGAACCGGGTTTTGCCGACGCTTTTCGATGAGCGCGTCCTGGATTTTGACGCTCCAGTTGTCGCGGGATGTTTGCAGCGATAGCTCGCGTAACATTTCAGATGGGGCTTCGTCATTTTCATGATGGCCCCGCCAGGCCAACGGAAGTCCCCTGCGCCCGTGGTCTCCCGATCATGATTGTTACCTCCCCAGAACCAACCGCTACTGTTTGTTTTTCCCAACCATCCTGTGGTGTTGGGTCCTCGTTTTGAAGAGACAGCGCCCCGCGTCTTACACTCACTCCTCCTCCTTCCCCTCCTCCCTCCTCCACCGCACCGCACCCATTTCGGCACACCCCTCACACGCTTCGTGGCCCCAATAGGGAGCTCCACCTAAGGCCCCAGAGGGAAAGGTTGCATGGCGGCCTCGGGCCATTTCGGCACACCCCTCACACGTTTCGTGGCCCCGTAGGGAGCTCCACCCAAGGCTCCAGAGGGAAAGATTGCATGCCGGCCCCGCCCCACTTCGGCACACCCTTCACGAGGATCGTGGCCCCATAAGGATCTACACCTAAGGCCCCAGAGGGACAGTTCCCATGGCGGCCTCGGGCCATTTCGGCACGCCCCTCGCGAGGATCGTGGCCCCATAGGAGCTCCACAGAAAGCCCCAGTGGCAGGGTTCGCATGGCGGTCTCGGGCCATTTCGGCACACACCTCACAAGGATCGTGGCCCCGTAGGGGCTCAACCGCAGGCACCAGTGGCAGTCTCTCTCATGGCTCTCAGAGCCCTTTCCTGCTTCTGCTCCTCGGTCAGGGGGACGGCGTCCTCGTCGTCGTCGGCGCCCGCGAGGACGGCCACGAACGTGTCCCTGAGCATGTCGGGCTCCGGCGGGAAGCCGTGGCCACATAGGGAGCGCGGGCGAAGATGGTATTCACAATTGCGGTATTCACAACTGCGTACGGCTGGGTCTTCCGCCAGGCTAATTGTGAATTGTGTTTGGAGGGCCGTAGAAAAAGATCACGTCCCGAGGGAAGAGTATCCTGATCTCGGCGATGGCGATACCACTCGGGCATCTTATGGCCGCCGAGAGACCACCGCCAACCCCAAGAGTTTGCACTGTTGCCACGAGCTGTGGCCCGCCAGACCGTGGCCGCGCTGCTGCCCTTGGCGGCCATGGCTCACGCTTTGCCTCTGGGGGACCCCCGCCCCCAGACGTGCCCGCGTCGCAGGCGCATCGCGACGACGGTGTTTGGTTGCCGTCTTCGGCGCGAGAGGGGGTCCCCGCCGGGGCTCCAGGACCGTCGGCGCAGAAAACTGGCCCTCCGGGAAATAAGGGGTCGGGATGTCTGGGGGCCCCGCGTGTGAAACCTTCGGGCATCGCATGTCTGGGTCTGTCCCTGCGTGCAGATTTGCGGGGGGCACCCAAGCGGTGCGGAGACCAGCCCGTGTGGTGAGCCAGTGGGGACTCGGGGTGGCTGCACGGTGTCGCGGCCCGGGCCGTTCTCCGAGGACGTCTCGGCGGACTGAGGCCCCCCAGCGCCCCAGCACGGTGCGGGGACGGACCGTGCGGTGAGGTTTTGGGGGGATGTCGAGGTCACCTCGCGGTCTTTCACCGCACCGTTTTGGGATCCCTCGCCATGGGGGGAAGGGGTCTTGAGGTGGGGGGCCCCAAAAGATACACCACCACAACCCCCACCTCCCTCACCCCCTTCCCTCTCCCTCAGGAGAGAGGCGAGGGAGAGGAGGGCAGAGGAGGGAGGAGGGATCGACGTGGTGGTGGTGGTGGTGCAGACTCGTGGGGGCCCCCTGGAGGGAAACGGGCCCGGGAGGGTCTGTGGGCCGTTCTGCTCGGGCTCCCGCGGCCTGCCTCGGGCCCTGGGGGCTTCGACAGAGGCGCGGCGCTGCGGGATTGGAAGAGCAGACCCTGGGGGGAGGCCCCCCGGGGGTCCAGAGCCCGTTTCCCTAAGTGGGGCCCAGGGATGTGCACCACCACTGCGTGGATTCCTCCTCCCTTCTCTGCCCTCCTCTTCCTCGCCTCTGTCTCCTGAGGGAGAGGGAGGAGGGTGAGAGAGGTGGTGGTGGTGCACATCTTTTTAAGCCCCCACCTCAAGACCCCTTCCCTGGAAGGCGGGGGATCCCTTCCAGGAGCCGTTCCATTCATGGCAGCTGTTTGCTGCCTTTCTCTGGTGCCCAGGCCAGGCTCGGATTTGGAGTGGACTGGAGGTTGATGCGGCGCGGATTCGGTGTGGATTTGACGCTCGACATGGGCTCGACGCGGATTGTGGCGCGATGGAACCGACCCAGACATCTGACGATATGGTGTTTCCAGTGCGCGGCCCCAGAGGTCCCGACCCCTTCCCCGAGGGCAGTGGTTAGTCCCAGATCCGTGTTTGATGGCCCCCGGTCCGAAAGTCGGGCCCCCCGAACCGAAATTTGAGGACAACGCCGAGATTAATTAGACCATGTCGCCGGAGATCTGAGGAGTTTCCCCCCAACGATACAGCAGAACGTGGTGGGCGAGGAGTTGCTCCGATGCGCCGCTCTGCCATGGCTATAGCCGCGACCTTCCCGAGTGACGAGCGCGCCCGGCCAGCGACGAGCGCGGCACCTCGGGGTCCTCGCCTGGCACGCGGGCGCGGGGTGTGAGGCCGCATGTGCTCGCTGTCACGGCCACGAGTGCTGCTGCTGCCACGAGTGCTGCGATCTGGAGCTTCGGCTCAGCTTGTCGCTGCGCCGGTTCTGGCCCACCACGCTGCGGCGCGGCCCACTGTCCACTTTTTCATCCTGAGGCGGCAACGTCTCGAACTGTTACCAGCCTCCCGCCCAGCGGAGCGGAGCCGCTACCCGCTTACAAGGCACAGCGTGTCGCCGGGGCCGCCGGGGCGACACCCTGAGCAACAGTTCCTGACCGTACACTTGCCACCAGCAGGCTGTTGCTATGACTTGTGCCTTGTGCGGTGCGCATCAAACACTTACTAAGACGGCCGCTCCACTATTGCTACGACGGGCGCTGCGCACCGCATTGCTAGCCTTCAGCGCAAGTGGATTTACTCAAGGGCTGCGACTGGGCTCCCCGTTCGATTTGCAAACTGAATAGGCGCAGCGCGTCAATGGGGTATCTTGTTATAGCCACCTTGCGATCCGAATCGTATGATGGTTGATGCTACTACGGCCATTCCAGCTGTTGCCTGTTACATCTGTAATTTCCATGGCGCTGGTACAATCGGGGCCCTGAAGAAGGAACCCTTTTCGTTGGGGAGGGGCTCCGTGTTCCTTGATTGTTTCTCAGCTTGCCTTAGATTTTCCTTAGGTTTACGATACGAAATCGAAGTTTAACTTATGGGAAATAGGGGCCTCGTTCCTTATTTAGGGTTCCTTAGGTCAACGCCTCGACTGTATTCTGTCAAGCTCGCCCCAGGACGGTAGTGCTGCAGCTATCCATGACAGCCCATACCACGGTTGGGCTTCAATGCTGCGTCACCGCCCGCAGCCGCTGCCCGGAACGGAAGTGCGCAGACCGTGTTGGCAGTGAGTCCAACTCTGGTGCGTTTGCTGTTTGCCAGGGCAAACGTTTGCACACATGGACTTCGCCTGGTGCCTGGACCGTGTGCAATTGGTGCACCCGTCGAGCAACGGTGTGAGGTCATTTGGGCGGACATGAATGGTGCCAGTTGTCTGTTCGCACCGGTTGAGAAGTGTACCCAGTTGGTTGGGGTTGGCATTGCTGGGTTGTGATTGGTCCACTATGCGCTCGGGGGGGTTGGTGGCGAGGGAATGGGGCGCTGGGGTGCGGGAGTCTGCGGGAGGGAGGCGAGCAGGATTGCGACAAGGGTCTGATAATTGGTTAGTCGTGGGGCTCATGACTGTGGCAGTCGCGACGGCGATGCCTGGAGACATCATGTGGGCGCTAGCTGGAGAGGGAGGATGTGGATGAGGAGGAGGAGGACGACAAGGAGGAGGAGGAGGAGGAAGGAAGGGAGAGCGAGGAGGGAGGATGTCGGATGGAAGAGGTATGGAGGAGGGGGGATGAGGGAGGAGGGGGTTTGAGGAGAAGCGAGGTCGGGGAGGACGAGGACAAGGTCGGGGAGGAACAGGAGGAGGCGGGAGGATGTTCGGGAGATCGGGGCGAAAGGGGAACGAAACAGAACCACGGTCCCCAAGTCGCAGATCATCATCTCAGAATTCGTCAATCTCCTCCTCCTCCTCCTCCTACTCCTTTCTCCGTCTCCTCCTGCTCCTTCGCCTCCTCCTCCTTCTCGTCTCCCCTGCCCCGACTGCTTCTCTTTTTTTGCCCTGCCATCTCTCTCGCTCACGCCTCCACCGCTCTCTCACCGCCTCCCTCCCGCCAGCCGGCGCCCGGGAGGCAATCGCGCGGCGCGGGCTCTGGAGTCTGGGCCGTGGTTCTCCCCACGGCGCGGGCAGCGGATCTCGAGCCGAGGCGCCGCCACAGAGGGGGAGCAGGCGAAGGGGGGGGGGGAGCAGGAAGCCCCCTCCGGTAGTTTCATTTCCGCTCCCTCCTCCCCCCCCCTCTCCCACCCCCCGTCCCTCCCCATTGCTGGCGTTGGGCAATCAGCAGCGGGGGAGCACGTGCGTTCCTAGGACGATTATGGGGAATTCTGGCGTGAGCACTGTGGCAGGCACCACGGCCTCGGCACGCAGCGGTAGGAAGACTTGCTGGGCTATGGCGAAAGTCATGGTCGCCCGCTAGGATGCATAGCATGCGTGCCGAGGTCCGCGAAGAGAGTGACGGAGGTGATCACGAAAAGCATGGTAATTTTCGTAGGTGAACGCCGTAACCGATGGACGCGTGAAGGCAAGCACACGCTGGTCGAAAAGCTGGTCGCATTTGCGGGCGGCAGCTGGTGGCAACTGGATGTGTAGCGATTGGTGCTGCTCGGCTGTCCACATAAGGTCTTTTGCTAAGAGGTCCCCCCCCTATGGAGGGCCCAAATTGCTGCTGCAGCACTAATCAGTGGAACCCATCCTCCATCATACACATCCTCCCACACCCCAGTGATCCCACTTCATCCGATAACACGTAGCTTCAACTGGCTGCTACGCTGGTTTCTACTAGCGGCTGGCACCATCTGTGCTGGTTGGCCTTGCGGCTGGTCTGGAGCAGTGCTGCACCTTTTTTCTGAATGCGCATCGGGCGGCGATGGCCTTGTGATGGGCATCGGGAGTCACTGCTTCTCCATTGCCCAGCCAGGCCCCTGGTAAATTTTAGTTGTGTGAGTGCTAGCTGGCTGGGACCCTGTGATCCTGCGGGGCCTCCAGCCCGCGTCTCTCCGCTCCTCGGACGGCTCTCCCAATCCTCGCTCTGGCCATCCCCTCTCCTGGAAAGCGTTGAGGTCGAGACCGAGTCTTGGGCCTGCTGGCTGGGCTGCGCAGGAGCATGCCATGAGAAGGAGCCGTGCAGGAGGGCGTGTGTGATGAGCTGGACCCTGTGGGGAGCACCACTGTGCGCCTCGAGTGAGGCAGGAGTTGGAAGCTGGGGTGGAGGAGGGAACGCTGGTAGGCAGAGGCGTAGCGCTGCACGACATTGTAGCGAAAAGGCTGAAGCATCGGAGACTCGCGATCTTTGATGAAATGGGGCCCTGACTGGTTGTGCAGCAGGCGATGCACCCTGGCCTGCACCTGAGGGTTTGTGCCCTGTCACTCCCCACCAACCCAAGTCCCAGACTCCCTCCAACCCTTATCGAGTCAGGCTGGTTCGGCAGTGTACTTGCAGGAAGCAAGAGAGGTGTGCGGGGGGTGCCGGCAACGTCTTCCTCCTCCTCCTATTCCTCTTCCCCCTCCTCTCATTCCTCCTCCTCCTCCTCCTCCTCCGCCTCCTCCTCCTCCGCCTCCTCCGCCTCCTTCCCCTCCTCCTGCCTGCCCCTGCCTGTCTGCTGCCCTTCCTTCTCGTCCTTCTTCTCCTCCCTGGTTACTCATCCCCTCCGTGGAGGATGCAGGGAGGGGAAGCCCGAGAGAGCAGGGATCAGCGAGGAGGGCGGGGGGAGGGAGGGGAAGGGAGGGATGGCGGAGGGGCGGCGGGAGCAGGAGCAGGGATCTGCGGGGAGGGGCGGCGGAGACGGGAGGCAGCAGCGGGGAGGGGCAGCGTTCAAGTACGAGCCTTCTGATGTTCCAACCTACCTCATCCTTGATCGTCAGAAAGAGTTTCGAGCGCTAGAGAAAGTACCGAAACTCAAGGGTTTTCATGAGTCGGGCCCTGGGAGACACTCGCCCGACACCGCATCGACACTCTTTCGACACTTTTCTGGGTGCTCGAAATTATTTCTGGGATGTGGTCCTTAAGTACGATGGGGGCAACATAGTACGAGCCCCCGCGCTGCAGGGGCATGCGCCGTAGTGCTCAGGCTGGGGCCAGAAGGAGCTGAGCTGCCCGACGCTCTGGCGCCGTTGGGGAGGCCCTCCTGGGGGGCCTCACTGGTCCGCCACGGGGGGCCGTCGTCGGTCGTTCTTGGGGCCCTCCTGGGGCGATCTTGGGCTATTTTGGGGTCCCTGTCGGGGCCTTAGTGGGGCCGCCCTCGCGCGGTGTTGGGGGCGTCTGGGATTCCTGCAGGACCAGGCAGCCCGTGCGAGAGGGCTGTCTGTGCCGACCCCGTGGGGGCACCCGAGGCCACCCCCTGCGGGCCCACCTGCGGGCCACAGGACCGTCCCGGAAAAGCATCTCGGAGGCAGTCGTGGGGCCCGCCTGGCCACCGTCTTGGGGTCTTTGGAGGGGGTGGGCATGGTGCACTTTCGCGGTCCGGAAACTCTGTTTATCGGGGGCGGAAAAGTGGGGGGTGATGACTAGGGGGGGTGGATATCATGGCGTGGGCCACGATATTTCCCCAGATCTCATGGCGCCTCTTCTTGTTTCGTTACGTCCCTGGCCCCCCCGCTGGGCCGCGCAGATGCCGCCGGTCATGATTCGCACCCCCCCCTCTTGGCAGCTCCCGGGTTTCGCGTGTCGCGCCGCCGGTTTTGGGCCCACCACGCGGCGGCTCGGCAGGGTCAGCACGTCCGGGCTCCCAGGCGCCGACGTCCCGAGCGGCGCCAGGTCGCCCGCCCTGCGGAGCGGGGCGACTGATCATCCGCCCGCGAGGCACGCTGTGTCGCCGGGTTTTGCCGCCACGGCACGCGGACCCCAACTTTCCTCGAGTGCTGCCGATCCCGTTATGGATTCGTTGTTGCGGGGACGGCGGTTTCTCTGGACGGGCCGGCACGTCATGGCAGTGCAGCTTGTCGCGCCGAGGCCCCCTCCCGCGAGGGGCGGATATCGAAGACGCCTGCGGCGAATCACCGCCGCCCCCTGCCTCTTTGGAGACGCCTCTGTGGCCGAACGGTGTGGCCAGAGGCCTGCCAAGCTATCGGACCATGTGTTCCCCGAGTCGGTTTGGAAAGCGTTCGGGGGACACGGTGGGGGAAGAGGAAGGAGAGGAGAGGGAGGAAGACGGAGATGGGAGGAGGAGGAGGAGGAGGCCTCTTGGGAGCCTCTTGGGCTACTCTAGGGCTTCATTGGGCAATTGTTGCGGTCTTGGAGGCATCTCGGGACTATCTTGGAAGCCATTTTGGGGCTATATTGGGTCTTCTTGGGGCCATCATGATCATTTTGGACGCATCTTGGAGGCCATCTTCGGCCACGCTGGCCGTCTTGGAGGCGTCTTGGTACCGTCTTGGAGGCCATCTTGTCCGTTTTGGAGGGATCGTTCGTGGACTTTGAGGCCTGTATGGTCTCCCCGTCGCTGTCGAGAAGAAGCAAATGCCAAAATCCTTCAAAAACCTATGGAACATCAATGATGTTGGTCTCTTCGGGCCCCCCTTGAGGACCTATTGGAGGTCTCTTGGGCTGCCTTGGAGGCTCTTGGGGGCCTCTTTGGCCGTCTTGGGCCGTCTTCGATACATCTTGGGCCGTCTTGGAGGCTTTTTTGGGCCATCCCAGCCGTCTTGGAGGCCGTCTTGGGCCGTCATGGGGCCATCTTGAAGGCCTCGTGGGCGATCTTGGGGGCCTCCTGGGCCGTCTTGAGCCGTCGGAGTGCCGAGAAGAAACAAATGCCAAAATCCTTCAAACACCTATGGACAATCAATGATTTTGGTCTCTTCGGGCCCTCCTGGAGGACCTCTTCGAGGCCTCTTGGGCTGCCTTGGAGGCTCTTGGGGGCCTCTTTGGCCGTCTTGGGCAATATTAAGATCATCTTAGGCCGTCTTGGATACATCTTTGGGCCGTCTTGGATGCATCTTGGGGTCATCTTAGCCGTCTTGGAGGCGATCGTGGCTGTCTTGGAGGCCTCTTGGGGCCGTCTTGGGGGCCTCTTGGGCCGACATGGGGCCATCTTGGAGGCCTCGTGGGCGATCTTGGGGCGATCTTGGGGGGCCTCTTTGGCCGTCTTGAGCCGTCGGAATGCCAAAAAGAAACAAATGCCCAAATCCTTCAAAAACCTTTGACTCATCAATGAATTTGTCCTCTTCGGGCACTCCTGGAGGATCTCTTGGAGGCCTCTTGGGTCGTGTTGGGCCGTCTTGGAGGCTTCTTGGGCGAACTTGGAGGTATCTTGGACTCTCTTGGGCCGTCTTGGAGGCCGTGTTGGACCATCTTGGGCGGACTTGGAGGCCATCTTGAACCATCTTGGAGGCCATCTTGGCCCAACGTGGCCATCTTGTAGGCCATCTTGGGCCATCTTGAGCGAACAATTTTGGAATCGTGCTCACTCCTTCAGGTCCTGTCTGGGTGGCCGGCGGGACGGGCCGAAGCCTCAGGGGGGCCCTTTGGGAAACGAGCCAAAACCAAAACCGAGAGGGTTTAGCACGCCAGGCACCCCTACGATGAATCTAAAGGGGGCGGCGGATCTGATGGCTTTCGGCCCGTCCTGCCACCGTGCGTGGGCCCTGGGCCAGAATGCTTTGGGAGGCCTATTGGGGCTCTCGGGGAGCTGTCGGGGGGGGTCCCTCGAGGCCTCTCGGGGGGCCTCTCGGGGGGCCTCTCGGGGGCCGGCTGCATGGCTGCGGCATGTGGCGGGCAGCGGGCCCATCTCCGAGGGGTTCTTCGAGCGGTCTGGCGGTGGCGGTGCTTTGTGCTGGTTGTCTCCTCGGGGCCGCGGGCCCCTCCTGGGAGCCTCGGGTTGCTCATGGACCGTGCCCTTTGATAGCGGAGGGGTGGTGATGTCCAGGCCATGCCCACGACTTGCCTTGCCAGGAAGTTCCTCCTGGACTTGCCCCGAGGTTCTCCAAGACGACCCAAGCGACCCCAGCCCAAAGACGGCTCACTCGGGCCCTCCGTGCCATCTTAGGGCATTTGGGGAGTTCGGATCTCCAAGAGCGGTTTCGGCGCCTGCGTACGGTCAGGGGCTGTTGCTTAGCGTGTCGCTTCGCTGGTTCTGGGCCACCACGCTTCGGCGCGACGTGCTATCCACAACCTCTTTTCCCTGAAACGGAGCGACACGCTATTCGCTCGCAGGGCATAGCGTGTCGCCGGGGGCGCCGCCGCGACACGCTGAGCAACAGTTCCCCACCGTAGGGCGTCTTGGGAAGTTCGGGCCTCCAAGAACGCCTCCGAGGCCCACGTGAGGGTCATACGCCAAGCCTCGAATTCGCGCCAGAGCGTGCGGCAGTGCGCACGGAGCCACTGTGGGTCAATATTCCCCCGCATGGCTGGTGTCGCACGACGATCTCCGCGGGATGTTGTCTGCGTCGAGTCGGCCATCAAGAAGTGCGGGGCCACAAAGCAATGGAGCGCCGCGCTGCAGCTCTTCGCCGAGGCGTCCCGACGAAGCTCGGCAGTCGCTCCAGGCTGTTACCTGGCAGCCGCTGGAGCGTGCGGTAAAGGTCGGCAGTGGCAGCGGGCCTTGGCGCTGCTTTGCCAGGCGTGGGAGACGAGGATGGAGCGCAACGTCACCCGTACTGCAATGCTCGAGCTAGTGCGCGCGAGAGCGTGCTGCGATGGCAGATGGTCAGGGCGGCTCCCGGCGCTCCTGAGGCGCCCCCGCGATACAGAGGCGGTCCTGGACGGCCCCAGACGGTAGTTAGAAGGCTCCGTGACTTCCAACGACGACTCAGAGACGCTCACGAGGGCGCCCAAGCGGTCCCAGAGAACCCGAAGCGAGCCTCAGAATGGCCCAGCGCGGCCCCAAGACAAGCCAGGAGGCACCCGAAGGCGGCCCTGAAGGACTGCGATGACGGTCCCACGAGGCCAACATTCTGCATTTTCAATTGATTTTCACAGATCTTTAGGTTCTCTCCATTTCGCCCCAAGAACGGCTCCAGACGGCTCCCAGGGCCTCTTAGATCACCCCATCATTGCCCATCAGGTTCTAAAGAGGCCCTGGACGGCCCAAAAGTGCCCCAAGATGGCCCAAGAGCGCCCGAAAACGGCCCCACAGCGCCCCATGTGCCCTCCAAGTCGGCCCCGAGAAGAGTACCCACAGAGCCCTTGATAGCCCCCAGGACGCCCCAGGAAGGCTCCACGGCGATTCCAAAATCAGCTGCCCAGACTGTGCTCCAACAGGGGCTCTGGGGGACAACAGCCCCAGAGGCGCCCCACATAACGCAAGAGGCCGTCCAGAGGCCCCAGACAGCCTCGCAGAAGGACCCACGATGCCCCCGACACGGCCAACTGGACACCCAAAACATCCCACGGTGTGACCCCTCCGGCCCAAGACAGGTCCCCAGGAGGCCCCGAGCGTCGGGGACGCGATGCAGGGCCACGCGTGGAGCGTGCGCCCCAGCAGGGACGCCATGGCGGAGTGCGAGTGCCCGCGTAGGGTGGAGGACCGGGGCGCCCCGCTCCACAGCCCGGCGGGACGCGGCCCAGGAACGGCCCCACCCATCTCCAGCGGACCAGCGCTCTCCCGTGGCCCTGGCATCGCTCGGACGTGTGCATATTTTTTCTCGACGAGGACCATCGAGGACCATCCTGGACCATCGAGCAACAAAAAACACGCACGACACCGCAAAGTGCACGGGACATGGACGCCCGAACGACGGCAAGCGGCGGCCTCGTCGCTTCACTGCAAGAGGCGCACGCACGCAGTGGGAGGCGGGCCCCCAGAGCGGGGAGGTCGTCGCTGGAGCGCCCGCCTCACTCTCACGGGGGGGTCGGCTGGGCCGCGCCAGAGGCAGAGAGGGTGCGCATCTCCCCGCGACCCCCCGGATCGGAGGGCACCAACTATACACCAACACCGATCCTGGCCAGGATCACCAGCATCGGTGTATACAGGGCCACACCGATCCTGGGCCCAGGGTGATCCTGGCCAGGATCGGTGTTGGTGTATAGTTGAAGCCTTCCTACCGGAGCGCTCGCTCCCTTCTCCGTCCTCCTCGTGCCGTTCCTTCCCTCCGCTGCCTGCCCCGCCTCGCACTGCCTGAGAAAGAGGCTCCCGGCCCTCGCCACCGAGCAGCGGGGAGGGGTGCGCAGCTTCGCTTCGCGCCGACGCGGTGGCAACGCAGCGCCGGCATCGAGGGCTCAACGCCGACCAAGGTCCAGACTCGGCCGACGTCAGAGCCCCGAATCATCAGGGGTAACTCGGGTCAGGGTTAACTCGGGTTCGTTTTTCGGGAATCCGAACCCGAGTTGCCCCGGACCCGAGTTACCCCGGATAATTCGGGCGTCCAGAGCCCCACATCATCAGGGGTAACTCGGGTCAGGGCTAACTCGGGTTCTTTTTTCGGGAATCCAAACCCGCGTTACCCCAGACCCGAGTTACCCCAGATAACTCGGGCGCCCAATGACGTGAATGATCTCGCGGTTTCAAAACTGCCAATCGTGCAGGGTTGAGCGCTCCATGCGGCGTCATGGGTAAGAGTGCCCCAGCTCGCCGTGGCAGGAACTCACCGTATATTCCCTCCTCCACGGAGTCGCTGCCGCGGCACGCCCATGCGCTTCGAGGTCCTCCACCTGCACTCTTATCCCCCCCCCGTCCTCTCCACGCCCTCCACGAGCTGTTCGGCTTCGACGCCTTGTTCTGTTCAGAGCGTGAATTACCTACCCCGCTTTCGCTTCCAGGCAAAACCAAGTCATTCCACGCGCCTCCTCGTCAAGCGGCCTGACCAGTACAGGCATTAGTTTGGCATCGTTTGGTATCTCTTGGAAGCGAGGGTGGTCAAAAGCGAGGTAGGTGTGTTTGCCCCCTGTCTGTGAATGAAACCTACGGCTTGCGAGTCCCAGGTTCGGCAGACCGTGCAGTGAATCCACTGGTTCACACTAGTAAGCTACAGCGTTGGGACCAGCGCGTGCGAGAAGGGGGGGCAGTGGCAGCGGGCCCTGGCGCTGCTCGGCGATATGCGGGAGTCGAGATTGGAGCCGAATGTCATTCATATTATACTACCAGGTTCTTCGCGTGCGAGAGGGGTCGTCAGTGCCAGAAGCTTGGGCGGCCCCTGACGGCCTCAGAAAGTTCCAGACTTCAATGCTTCAACGCGGCCGAGGCAGCCCGCAGGACAAGTCCAATAGAGGCCGAGACGCCCAGAGACGGCCCACGATTTCGCCAGATATGCCAATCTGGCCATAACAGGTTCCAAGACAGCTCCGCGCCCGCCAGGCCCCAGGGAACACCAAGATGTGGCCCCCAGATACCCGAGAGAGTCGCTCGAGACCCTAGGGGATCCCATGGGAACCCCCAACAGCGTTCCAAGATGCCCCGGGAGGCCACACGAGCAAGCGGCTGAATGCCAACATATCGGGGCAGCAGCAGAGTTGCCAGCATCAACGGCAAAGAGGGGCAATCTTCGGAAGCAGCACCGAACAGAAGCCAAACGCAGTAACATTTGGCAGCAGCACCACAATCCCTCTCCAGCGTGAGGCAGCACGAAGCATCGGCCAGCAGCGCCAATATGCGACAGGAGCAAACCGTAGCGAGAAGCAGCCACAACCAGCTGCCGGCAATGTCAAGAGAACGGCTCTGTCTGTGGGGTGATTCAGGGGGTGCACGCTAGACTATTCTACAATGCAGGAACCCGCGCGCGCCAGAAGTTGCTGTGGATCAATGGACTTGCTCTGCCTCCGCGACGCCTCGAGGGGCCGACAAACGCTCCATGGGCAGCTTCGACAGCCATGCGGGCCTCGGGCCACGCACCCTATTTGGAGCAACGGGGCCGAAAGACGGCCGAAGAGGCGCCCTTGGAGCAACAGAGCCGAAAGACGGCCGAAGAGGCGCCCAAGACGACCTCAAGACGGCTTTAGTTAGCTTCACGACCGCCCAAGACGCCCCCTAAGACGCCTCAAGAGAGGTCCAAAAGGCTCCCCGAAGGCAGCCCCGAAAAAGGCCCCAATCGTGTTCCCCCCTGAGGAAAGAATGTTCGTGGTTTGCCTAGTTGTGTTTGCTCGTCCTCGCAGCGTCCCAGCATGCCCTAGAGGCCCCCCCCCGAATTCCATCAGGGGGCCCCATGGGAGCCCAAAGACGGCCCCAGGCAGCTCCAGGACGGCCCAGAAGGCGCCCAAGACGGCCCAAGCGGGCCCCAAGAGGGGGGGGAACCCGAACCGACGTGTCGCGCCCTACGCCCCAGGGGCTCCCCAAGGACACCCCACATCAGGCCCCAAGAGGCCGTCGCTACTCCCTTCTCGCTCCTCGCTGATCGCTCCTCGCTTCCCCCCCCCTCCTCTCGACCCTGACTCCTCGTTCCTTGCTGCAGGTTGCGTCATCCAGCATGGGTGACTCTGCGGCCCCAAGCGGCAGCGGGGGAGCACCAGCAGTCCGCAGCAGGCAACGGCAGCACGGCAAGAGTGAGCAGCAAAAGCAACATGCCGCAGGCAGCAGCACCCTGCAGCTGCAGGCAGCAACAGCAGTGGCGAAGCTCGGGCCCAACGCCATCACGAAAGCCTTTCGGCAACATCTCTTCCCTGGTCCAACGTGCCATCTCGGACTTGTTTAGTGGCCAGTAGGCTACGGGTCATCCCTAATCTGCTATAGCGCTGGGATCAGCGCGTGTGAGAAGGGCGAGCAGTGGCAGCGGGCTCTGATGCTCCTGCGTGACATGATCGAAACGAGGTTGAAACCCGACGTCATCATCTACAGTGCTGGGGTCAGCGCATGCAAAAAAGGCGCTCAGTGGCAGCGGGCGCTGGCGCTGCTCAGAGAGATGTGGGGTGCGAACCTTGAGCTCGATGTCATCTATGCTTCGATGCCCGGGACAGGACGTGCGAACTTTCTGGGCCCCGGCGATGGCGATCGCGCACAGCGTAGGTAGCCTGAGCGGCGGCGCCCATAGGCGACCTGCACACAGGCCAGCGGGAGGCAGAAGAGGGCGGCCGCGGAGGCGCAGAGAGAAAGGTGGCGCACTCGGAACGTGAGTCTAGGCCTCCCAGAGGGGGTCGGGGTAGATTGGGTCGGAGGCTCGCGCAGCATCGCAGAATCATCGCCGATGCGGCTAGATGCGGAGCGCGGCCGATGGCGCCGATGCCTCGCCGACGTCGCCGATGCATCGCCGGTGCGGTGCGATCCTCTGGCCCCATCCACTCGGACCCCATCCAGGAGGCCTCCTAGAGGCGTGATCAGTGTGGCGGCGGCATCGGCGTGTGAGCGAAGGGGCCAGGCCGTGGCCAGGCCAGGCCAGGCGCCGCTGCCGCATCTGCACGGGGCCGGCCGAGAGAGAGCTTAACTGGGGAGGCGCCTGGTCGCCAGAGAACCCAGGACGGACCCGGGACACCCCTGGGCGGCGCTGCCTTGGATCCCATGCTCTGCACGCACGAAATGGGCACGGAAGGAATGGGTACAATGCCCAACAGCAGCTCCTGTTCATTTTGAACCGGATTCGCTGCCCACGCCGCCGCGGCCTGGGTCCATTCGAGACAGAAGGCCGCCTGCCCAACAGCGGCCGCTGTTGGCTTGGGACGACATTTGTTGTTGGGCATTGTACCCATTTTTTCCGTACCCATTTCGGGCGTCCAAACAGGCTTCCCATGCACGCCAAACAGGCAACAAACGATACGTATACGTAGCGCCCCGCACATGCGGATAAGAGTGAGAGGGCGGTGGGGACGTCGGCAGTCTGCGAGGCTCTGGGGAAGCCCGCCGCAGGCGCCAAAGTTTGACACATGATGCAAGGAGCCCGCCGCAGGCGCCGATTTTTTTCGTGAAACCAATGTGGGTCGTTCGCGGGTGTGTCGCAAATGGGTCGCAGATGGGTCGCAAATGGGTCACGGGTACATCACTAGTAAGTCACGGGTGGGTCGCGGGTGTGTCGCGGGTGAATCGCGGGGTGGGTCGCAGGTAAGTCACAAATAGGTCACAGGTAAGTCGCGGGTAAGTCGCGGATGGGTCGCGGGGTGGGTCGCGGGGGGGTCGCGGGGTGTGTCGCGGGTGGGTCGCGGGTGGGTCGCGGGTGGGTCGCGGGTGGGTCGCGGGGTGGGTCGCGGGTCACGGGGTGGGTCGCGGGGTGGGTCGCGGGTGGGACGACGACAACACACAAACAACAACGCAACAATGTAACAAGCAGAATCCTCACCACGGACCCCCTTTTCAGCCTCGCACCCAGGGATAATGAATGCCCGTTTGCCCTCCACACTCTGATATACATGTCTGTGTAGTGAAGGTATATGTATATAGGTACGTATGTGTGTATGATTGTTTGTACGTATGGCTGCATTCACGCAGCATTGTCTGGGTGATTACATGTATGTGTATATGCATGCATATGTGTATACAAGTATGTACGCATGCGTGCATGTATGTATGCACGCACGCATGTATGCATGCGTGTGCATGTGTGCATGTATGTATGCATGCGTGTATGTACGCATGCATGCATGTAAGTGTGCATGTGCGTGTATACTTGTATATTTGTATGTGTGCATGGGTGTATGCATGTATGTATGCATGCATGCATACATGCATGTATGGATGTATGCATTTACGCATGCATGTATGTATGCATGTATGTATGTATGTGTGAGTATGTAGATGTATATGTATGGGTGCATGTATACTTATATATACACATATGTGTGTATGTGTGTGATGCTATACCATGCATGTAGGTATGCATGCGTGCGTACATGTGTGTACGTGTGTGTATGTATGCATGTAAGTATGGATATGTGTATGTGTGTATGTGTGTATGAGTTTACATGTCTGCTTATGTATGTATGTATGTTTGTATGTATGTATGTGTGTATGTATGTATGTATGTATGTATGTATGTATGTATGTATGTATGTATGTATGTATGTTTATATGTGTGCGTATGGATGTATATCTGTAAGCACGTACGTACGTACGTACGTGCGCAAGTATGTATGCATGCATGCATGTATGTATGTATGTAAAAACAGTGTGCCGCGTCTGGTTCCCCATGGGTGAATCCTGTGCTCCTCGCCGAGCTGCCCGAGTCGCCTGCCACTTTGGGGGGCCTCGGCGCATTTTCGGGACGCTTCTCAGGCTGCCTCCGGCGCTTCGCTGCGCGCGGCTGGGCCGCGACGCCAAAAGAGAGTGTAAGTGTGTGTGTGTGTGTGTGCGTGCGTGCGTGCGTGCGTGCGTGCGTGCGTGCGTGCGTCTGTGTGTGTGTGTGTGTCTGTGTGTGTGTGTGTGTCTTCGTTCCTTCCTCCTGCACGCTGGGCAAGTCGCCTTTCGGTTACCCCGATTGGCCTCACGCAGGTGCGGGCTGCCTCTGCCTCGCTGCCGACGGACGAAGTGTGTGTGTGTGTGTGCGCGCGCGTGTCTGTTCAACATGTCGGGGCGCTCTCCATTTCACGCCAGCAGTGGCCCTGATGGGCCCCGCTTCCCCAAAGTGGCCCCAAAGTATACCCTCCCCAAACCGCCCCCGAAGCCGCACACGGAGGCCCCAAAGGACGCACAGATGGCCCCAGGAGGCCCGGAAGGGCCCCGAGGAGCGTCAGAAGCCGCAGGGATGGCTTCAGGAAGACCCCAAGCTGGCCACTCCGGCGGCGACCCAAGGGAAGACCAAGTGCCCGGCCGTACGCGCGTCCAGGCCATCGGGAGAATCGTGTGCTGGCCGTCCTCCAGCCTCCCCTCAGGGGCGGAAAAGAGGGGGGTGACAACTAGGGGGGGAGGGGGATATCATGGCGGGGGCCATGATATTTCCCCTGATGTCATGGCGCCTCTTCTTATTTCATTACGTCCCTGGCCCCCCCGCGGGGCCGCGCACATCCGGTCATGATTTGCCCCCCCCCTCTTAGACACCCCCCTCTTGGCCGCTCCCGATCCCTGCTCAAGCTCCCGCTCCGCGGGCGCCTCGGGAGCTCGTGTGCGGGGCGCAGGCACGCCGACCCCGACCGCGGTGGCCCACAAGGCCCCTCGGGGGCTGGCGGCGCTCGCGGAGTTGGGCGGCCATGGCCCCGAGGGGAGGCTTTTCACGCATTGGGCAGTCCAGTCAACAGTGTCCCTCCTCCCTGGTCGCTCCGTGCTCCACGCTCCTCGTTCCTCGCCCCTCGCGCCTCGACCCGCGGCTTGCCCCTCTCCTCTCCGTCGGCTCCTCTTTCCGGGCTCCTCCGTCCTCCCTTTTCAGCAGCACCAGCAGCAGCAGCAAGAGGCAGCACCCTGCAGCAGCAGCAGCAGCAGCAGCAGCAGCAGCAGCGGCAGCGGCAGCGCGCAGCGCGCAGTGCGGAGCACACCGCGGCGGCAGTCACAGCAGCCGTAAGCAGCATGCAGCAGGCAGCAGCAGCCTGCAGCATCACGCATCAAGCGTCGCTGGCAATCGGCAGCACCCTGCGGCCACAGCCAGCAGCAGCAAGCATCAGCGGCCGTCAGCTATGGCACAGGGCTGCCATCAGCAGCAGCAAACCGTAGCAGGCAATAGAGAGCAACAGCACCGTGTGTCAGCAATCGGCAGGCCACGAGCTGTCAGGCCAGCAGGCTAGCACTATTGCAAACATGAGTGCGTGCACGCAGTCGAGCGGGTAGGTTTTCGCGGCCGCCAGGAGAATTCCGATCAGACCAAGCCGCTTGTCGTGTATAGGATCCACGGACCCACTCTAGTCTGCTACAGCTCTGGGATCACCGCGTGCGAGAAGGGCGATCAGTGGCAGCGGGCACTGGCGCTGCTCAGCGAGATGGGGGATGCGAAGCTCGAGCCTGGCGTCATCAGCTACAACGCTGGCATCAGCGCGTGCGAGAAAGGCGCTCAGTGGCAGCGGGCGCTGGTGCTGCTCAGTGAGATGCGGAAGGCGAAGCTGGAGCCCACTGTCATCTGTTCTACAAGGCTGGGCCCAGCAGGTACCAGAGGGGTCATGAACCCCGTCCGCTGAGCCCGCGGCTGCGGCACCTGCGTGGCCACCTGCCCCGAGAGGGCCCCGCGAGTGGCCCGCAGGGCCCCCAGAGCGCCCCTCTGCCGCGCCAGACGGCTCCGACATGGCTTCCGAGAAGGCCACGAGGACAAATAATTGTTGTGTGTTCGAGCTTTTGCGGCACTTCCACTTGCGATCGCTTCCCTGGCCACAAGACGCCCCACCCGCCCCGAGAAGCCTTCCAATTGCCTCGGAGGGCGCCCAGTGAGCTTCCAAGAGAGCCCCTACGACGGCTCTGGAGACCCTCAAGTCGGCTGCGGGGACTCCCAAGACGGCCGAACAGATCCCGAAGACGGCCCCAAGGGAGGCCTAACATGGCCAACTCTGGAGCGCTCCCCGCCCCTCCCGACCCCACCCCCTGCCAGTAAGCCCCCAAGAAGCCCCTCAGGGGCTCCCAGACGGCCTTCAGGACGCTCCCCAGCAGCTCCCTCGACACTCCTCAAACATACTCCGAAAATCGCCTCAGAGGCTCCAGGAAGGCCTTCCTCCAGACAACCCCGATAGGCTCCTGGAGTGCACCAGGCGTTTGGACAAAAACCATGCCCCGGATGGCATAATAATCGTGAGGGGAGGGCGACGGACCTTCTTCCGATGGAGCGCCCTCGCCCCCGCAGCGCGCGCCCAAAATTCCCCCTCCACCCTGGCCAAGGAATCTTGAG